AATTATTTTTTAAGTAAGAGTAGGGACGGGTGGTACTTATAGTACTACCCTAAGGTTATTTTGATCCGGTAAATTATTAATTTGCATATTTTAAACATTTAAGGAAGATATCTCCAGTTTGTTAAATTTGCAAAAGCATCGATCAATATGCAATCGATGAAAAATTGCAATGCATCATACTAAAATAATTAATTCATGAAATAAAATAAAAATTTGAAGAATGTTTCACCAAGAGCTAAGCCAAGTTACAATGAATATTACTAAAATAATTAAATAAAATAACGAATTAACTAACTATAACAAACAAATTGACATTTAATATATTTCAATGTGGTGTATAACAAAATAGTTAGGAAAATTAGTTGACCATAAACTATAAAAAGATGTGCAGTGCGTATCAGATAAACATGATTTTCTAGTCAGATAAACTTAAAGTCAAAAAAGAACTTAATCGTTTTTTGGAAATGCTAGCTAATCGTAGGTGCTTCAAAATACAAACTATTTCTCATTAAGCTTGTTATGTTGAAGACAAAACAAATCAATTTATGTAAACTACTAATCATTTCTTCAAGAGTAACAAACTTTGTGCTATTTTTTCTAAAATTATAGTTCATTAAGATCTTTACCTATAGAGACCTCGACTTCAAACTCGGAATATGTTATTGTGTTGCTTTGCTTGAATTTTTCTTCACTTCGTTTTTCTTTTTACGAAATATTATTTATCATCGATGTTTATACTGAGTGTCTAATTGTTTAGAGTTTCGATAAAATCTGACTTAGCCACAAGGCGACCAACAGAATTCGAGTTTCATCCCCCACCCGTAGAAAACGATGGCGATGATTTTGAAAACAACGACGACTATTCATTTTACACTGTTAGCAATGGTTCGGTACCAAACGGAAAATCTCCAGAATTTCATTTCACCAACACCATTTTAAAACTTGACAACAAAGACTCCAACGAAAGTTCAACGGACGACATACTATCAGAGGATGAGGCAAATCCGGGTAAACGAGAGAGACGAAAATCCGTTACATTTAATGTGAATGTAGAAAAAATTGAAATAGAAAAAGACGACGATGACGATGAGGATGATAATGAAGAAGGCGAAAATCATTACGATGAAATCGAAATGACGAATCGGGACAATGACAGTGACGATATTCAGATTGAGAGATTATAATTGTATATGTATATGCTCATGTGATGCATATTTAATTGTATAATAGTGTTTGTATTGTATAAAAGGTTTTTTTTTATTATCGTATAGGTCTGTTATTAACAAAATATTACGTATAAAGATGCTTTATTTTTAAATAAATTAAATAGTAAAAATTACCGCACAGCTTTGTTCATTTTCTTCGCAAATGGTAAAACGGATCGCCCTGAGTCCGAGGTGTTTCATTCCCACCAGCTACTAATGCTGATGGATGGACAGTTTCTCCATACTACGCCGGAAGGTAGGGCGGAAGGTACTCTTCAGTCTCCTTCAGGAATCGTGGGAATGGGTGGGTGGTGGGTCGGGTGAGAAAGGTGAGACGGACGAAATGAAGACAGAAGTGAATGAAAGATTATTTGCGGAGTATTACTGCCCCAGCATTTGCGTAAGTGATTCAAGGAAACCACAGAAAAAGTTGGACGACCAAGGGAGACGGGACAGACCCGGAATCGAATCGGCGTCCTCTTGAATGCTAAGCAAATACCGGTCGAGCGAAAGCCTTTTTAAACAAACCCTGTGAATAAAGACAGAAGAGAATCAAAGATTATGTGTGGAATATTCCTGCCCCAGCAGGAAACCACAGAAAAACTTAAACCCAGGCAGACGGACCCGGAATCGAACCGGCATGGTCTAAACCTCTACCAGGTACGTACCTTGAAGGCCGCGAACCAACTAGATATCCGTGCTCAGCGACCCTGAAAATCTCCGAGTAACAAAATTGGGCTCATTTTTACCATTATTGACCGTGTTGAATTTTTTTTTATAACAACTTTGGAATGTACTTAAGACTGCATTTTTCTTATGCAACGATATATTTTTAAAGATGAATTGATCTTTTGTGAGTTACCCTTAACATATAGATATATATGTTTTTCGAGACTGTTTTTACAGGCTTTCTAAGCTCTACAACTTTCCTATAGAAAGGTAAGACCGGGTTTGTTTAAAAAGGCTTTCACTCGACCGGTATTTTCATCAACGTATGTTCCAAAATTTGTTTCCACGAAAAGCCCTTTTATTTTAACGGACTATTATACAACCTATGTTCACCTTGAAGGTCAATGTTTTAACCGAAATGTAACATCTATGTAGGGTGCCTGTCGTCTTAAACCAAATTTTTGAATTTCCGAATTTTTTCCTCATTTTTCCTTGTATTAGGTAGTAAACTCCTTGACGATTACTCGTTTTTCAATTTTTTGGGGGTGGTTGGAGCTCTATTTGTTCTGTCTAATTAGGTTAAAATCGACTCAGCATTTTGTGATGTCTTTAGCTTTTTTAGTAGCTTCAACAGGTTTACAGCGTAGGTTTGATCAATATTTTTGCGTATAAGTGCCCTAGACAAAAATTCTCAGTCACTCTCCAGTCTTTCAATGTCTCTGAGAGCGTCTCTCACAGTCTTTCAGGGTTTCTCAGCTATTGCCTAGGTGTTTTTATGGATCTCTCACAGTCTCTGTATGAGAGACTCGAATCTCTGAATTAACAATTTTATCGTTCGAGTCTCTCATACAGAGACTGTGAGAGATCCATAAAAACATCTAGATAATAACTGAGAGACTGTGAGAGACGCTTTCAGAGACGCTGAAAGACTTTGAGTGACTGGAGAGAGACTAAAAATTTTTGTCTAGGGATTGTACATCAATAAATTGATTTTTAAGTATTGTTATTGTTTTAACATTTTATCATAAATATTGAATTCAAAACCGTTACTTCTAGCTTAACAATTTTAATTTTTTAATCTCTATTNTCACTTAGGCAAATTCTAGGGCAGTATTATCCCACAGATAATCTTTCATTCACTTCTGTCTTCACTTCGTCCGTCTCATCTTTTTCACCAAAAACACCACCCACCCGTTCCCACAGTTCCTGAAAGGAGACTGAAGAGGACCATCCGCCTTACCTTCCGGCATAGTCCGGTAGGACTGTGCGCCCATCAGTATTTTAGTAACTGGTGAGAACGAAGCAAAATTTTTTTTTCTCCTGCATCCAAACTTACGAAAATTACAAACTTACAACCACTCTTTATAAAGTACAGGTATAGTAGTATGAAGGTCGATATTTCTTATAGTTGCTCCTACTATAACTACATTTACTTCCATCGGAACTGTTTTTTAATCACTTTATTTCCACGTTTTACTTACTATGCGGTTTTAACAATGACTTTTAAAATAAATACACTGCCAGCTCTTATTATGTAGGTGGGTCAGTAGACAAGGTGTGAGATATCCTGTTGCTTAATCATCTGAATTCATACCACAGCAAAATCGAAGCAGAATTGATGATTAAAAATTTAATATTAACGTAGTGCTAAAAGCGGTACAATTAGTGTACTGCGAGATTTCAATTGTATCTTATTTATTAACTTCAAACTTACGTAACTACTGCTAACATGACGGTGCAGTAAGTGAACTTTAGAATCTCAGTGCTCGTGTTTGGATTAGATTTTTCGTATAATATTGTTTAGTTAAAGTTTAATCATTACAACAACAACACCAATATTTTGTCGTGCATGGAGTAAATAGCAAAGCGTAATAGGAAAGTGCAGTTATGATTAAACAGGTAATATTATCTATATTTTTTTTACGAACATTATTTCTGATGATTAATAGAAGTACATGTATGCTTGTTTATTTCTTTCAACTATAAAGTTATTTTAATTTTATTGTTCTTTACTTTATTTGAAATACATAAATTTCAAATAATATGGAACCACTTTTTTAAATGTTTCATAAAATCATTGATTAATAATACCTATCAACTATCTATTTCGCATTATTAGAACTTTTGTAGATGTAGAACATTAATTGCATATGTTGTCAGTTTTCTAAATTAAATTGATTCGCTAGAAAGGAGATGATAAAGAACGTAGGCAGCTTTTTATGCATGGGTTAAGGGTGAGCCACGCCTCGTGCACAAGACACCCCAAGTTTCTTAAAAATAACAATCTAAAACCACAAGTATATTACATATAATCTTACCCAACTCAAAACGCTGCTAGTTCCGTGATAGTAATAATAATTCTATCGTAATATTATATTATGCGCCTAGGCAGGAAGAATAAAGAATATTTTCTCGTCTAGTGCATATGTTACTTTTCATTATCCCTTGGCTTGGAAGTGAAATTTTCTAAAGTAGGTGTCTAAGTAATTTAAACATCATGTTCACCGTGAAAAATTAGCAAAATCTCTCGATTTGATTCTACATTAAGCTGAGCACCTTGAGTTATATGAAATTGAATGCTTACGATTTTAAATTTTACGTTATCTCACAACGAATAAGATCAAACCATTTGTTGAATATTTTACTAAATTTATTTAAAATTAGTATTTTTATCATATCTTTATCTTACCCTTGGTAAGATACTTTATCTCAGCTAAGTTCCTATCGTATATCTATACATATATATTTGTAAATGAAGGGGAGGTATTCAGATTAAAGTACGAAAGAAAGTTGTTAAATAAGAAATTCCGTGAAAAACATCCAAATGAGGGAAATGTAAAATTTATTATTTTTCCATGAAATTGAAAAGATATAACTTCACACTTACGATTACACTTGTAAATTATAAAAAAAATGATTAGTCAATAATTTCCTTTGAACAATACTATTCTAAACGAAATTTGTAGGTTCTATAAAACAATAACAATTAATCATTAATTTATTTATTAGTTTTCAAGTAGATGAAGTAAATTCATTTCAATTCAGTTAACTAACAACAAGCGGTGCACTTTTTATTAAAAATAGAAATATGTACAGAATCTACACAATTAAGTGCTTTTAGACCAAGATACATAAATATAGAACTATATTGTTTATAACTATGATTATAAATTGCATTTTGACTATTTATAGTAGGTGTCACTGTATTTTATTATTATTTTCATTTGCATGAATAAATCCAAGAATATGCAATAATTTTATTACAATTACAATTACTAGAATCGGTATAAATTAGATTTTCTTGCTTCATACGTGGAACCTATCAAAGTCGTTGACATCCCAATCGTAAATTTTTACTATCTCCCTGAGAAAGTATTTAAGCATTTTGCACTATTAATTTTTATTTAGTCACACATTGTTTAAAAAGTGCAAGATTATTAACTTGCTTTTGTATTAGACGTTATCGCGATTCTAGCCGAATACTTTTGTTTGTTCCTTTTAACTGATTATTTTGTATTCATTACATTAACGTGAATCCGTAAGTTATTTATTACTTTAACCGACTGAGACGTGAGTAGATGTATAAAGATAATAGGCGTAAAACACCAATTTATTTTAAACTATTCAGTTAACAAAAAAAATGCATTGCAGTAGATCTGGGTCATCTAAATCGTTCAAGAACATTCAGTAATTACCTCCCAACTTCATTACCAGACTTAATGGCTTAGTGTCATCATTTTATTAAGCGAAATAAAAGATAAGATTGCGCTATCTCCTTAACAAGCATTCTTGTACGATTTACTGATAATAAAGTAACTGTTCTCCTACTTGCAGCAGGTTTTGTGTGCGTTTCGCTTCTACCAATAGAGTACGTTAAATACAACATATTTTTACATGCTGCTGTGATAGTGTTTTATATGTTCCACGTCTCAGTTTAAATGGTAATTCAACACAATTAGTTTAACTGAAGGATGAATGCTCATTTGTTAAGCAATTACGTCCTGTAGTGTTATACAGCAGTTGACAGAAACTGTCCAGACCATAAACAATAGTCATTTTCGTTTAGCAATAAATAATTATGACACTCAGTCTGGATACCATTAAAAATTTCCTGGTATCGAGAAACCTGGTGCAATCTGGATCGTCGATAGAAGATCCCAAACCGGAATTGGGATTTAAATTGTCCCATAATGAACACACAAAACAGCTAAAAGTCAAAGTGATAGGAGCTAGACATCTCCCGACATCCTACGGAAGCATACGTCCTGAAGGATATCTTGTTAAGGTATGTTATTGTTTTACATATGCAGGTACATAATACGTTGAGTTAAAGGATATTGCACACATATGTAAAAATTATGTATTGTAATAAAATTAGTTAGGTATACAACCTTATCAGTGTTCGAGGCGTTATTTTCTGTTAATAGGTTTATCTATATGCATGTTGTCGCCAAAATTATTTTGAGAACTGATAAAGGAGTTGCAGTAAAGTTCATAAAAATTATCTGACTTATCTTTGGCTTGGAAAGTTTTCAGGATCTATTTTTTATACTTGTAAAATTTGGTTACATATATGGATAGATATGAGTAAAATTTTTATTCTGTGTTTAAAATAATTAATATTTATGTGAAAATCTACCCAATCGTTAATTAATTTGTTTACCCTATTTTTTTTATATAATCCAACAACCATGTTTGGTAAGCTCATGCAAGAGGGTGAAGTTTTTCAAAAAAAATTATTTCCAAAATGTATGTAATATAAAACCCTCAAGTTATTAGTAAATCGACTTTGTAATTGTCATAACAAATTATAGAACACTATTTTTAAAAATTAGCAATAACATGATCTAAAGAATATTTACGAGATGCACAAATCAAATTTGGAAATTTATGTAGTGCATGTGTAATATTGTGATAAAGAATAATATATTATGAATGTAATTGAAATGTTTTAATAAATACTATGTTTTATCTATCGGGGCATTTAAATTGTTAATTATTAATTTCAGAAACATTTCTTCTGACAACGATTGATAAGCGTCTTACTTTGAACTCTGCCCTTAAAATTATTAACATTCAGACAGATGGTCTCCTCAAGGTCTTTCGTCTTATGCATATTTCCACTTTTTATTTTATTTATGAGACAGTTTTTGCCATCGTCTTATCAACATTATGCACTTAAGTAATTTATTGCCTTTAAGAATGTCGTTATTTTATCCGAATGTTCCTGTCAAAATTGCTACAACGACCAGCGAGACGGTAGACGTGATCTGACAAAAATTTGTTCATCTTAAAAAAAAATGAATGCAATCGAAACTTGCAGGGATTTTCTAATCTTATTGTTTATTTGTTATTATTATTTATATCAGATTTATACATTTTTCACTTGATCATTAACAAATGGTTATTTTTAAAGTTTTATATGACATTGGAAACCCTTATTAACGCCATGTCAAATTTTTGCTTTT